CTACACTGAGCACTGATAAATGTAACCCTACTCGTTTCGATCACGACCTATATAGAAACAAACCGACACGCCTACTGTAATAAAATGAGCAGTGAAGATTGGCTGAAACTTGGATATTACTTGGCATTAGGTCAGAAATAAAATTAGCAAGAGTAAATTAATATGATGGCCAGAAAAAAATGGCTATTTTTTCTCAGAAACTGCAATATGTATGATGTTACACCCTATAATTGTTTCATTATTTCTTATCTACCAGGCTTATCCGTCGAGAAAGGAAGTGTAAAATGAGGTGATTTTTGTTTTTATGTCGTCGGTCGCAAGCACTATATTTTGTGATTACAGAAACTTATTTTTGGTTTTTAAAATGATTAAACATATTAGTGTTTGTGTTTATCTATTATCTTTTTCGTTATAATTTACAAAGTATATGTTTATGGAAAGGGCAGTTCATTGTAACTGCTGAAACTGTTCCTAAATTACCTCTTTGCATCGACATTACCAATAAGATAGTCTATTTAAAAGCGATGGTCAGGCTCTTTAAACATTTTTGCGACTCCAAAGGCAGGTGCCCAAAAGAGATCGTTCCATCAATCTTTCGTAGCTAAATATATACCGTATCACACTGTGTATATCTATGTATAAATAGGAGTTGAAAATAGGTGTAAGTAAATAGCAAGTTATTTAACACCTGTTTAACGACAAAGTAAATTGGTTGTATCCTCATGTTGGCTTGTCTGCCGCTTAAAATAAATTCATTGTCTAGTGTATGGCTATGCCTTGTCTAATGTTTAAACATATTCAGCTTGATTTTGAAATATCGTATACAAATATCGAACTCGACCAGCCTCTGATGTAACGGCAGTATTAGCCAAATTTAATAGCCTAAATGCAATAAATTAATTGACCAAGACCTAAATTTCGCTGCCTCGATTGGTTTTCTGGGAATATGTGTTATATCATTATCGGATAATGCCACAACAATGTGTTCTATTTAAAAATAGTTGTTAGGTTATTTTAGTGAGTGTGCGGGAAAATAAAATATTCTATTGTTGTTAAGGTCAAATGTGCAGTGCCCTGGCTGCTGCCTTCTCAGCCCCCCCCCCCCCAGCCCTTTTTATCCGCAACTCGATATATGATAACAATTAACTTCAAAGAGCTGGACCAATGAGCTAACACATTAAAGATACAAAATGGTAATAGCCATCACTTTATTACACGTGAACTTTTTAAAATACCAACTTGAATGTCAGCTACATCCACAGGTACAGAAAAACAAATTAATACTTTACCCGAATTGTTATAAAATGGCTAAATCCAGTTTAGCTTTATGAATCGTCTGCTTAATTCCCTCTCACATTCAAATAAAATACGATGCATAATACAATATTTTACCCCAGAAATAAAGGCTAATAAACTGTTATACATTAAACTGTTTCGACATAATATAGGTACGTTTTGCTCAATTACTACTGTTTGTGTATGAATAGATGATATCTTGTTAAACAAATGCGGCCTCAATGTCTCTCAATATTTTAATGACAACGCAATTTTACAGAATTGTGAATCCAATTTAAAAAAACGTAAAGTCATTAAAAATTAATTACAAATTACTTTGTTGAATTACGAAAAGTTAAAAAGTTTTATTAGTAACAATCACTCGATCCGTCTAGTGAGTTTGCATTCACGATAAATGTTTATAGTTCGTTAACAATTAAGTATAGATACATTCAAGAAACCAGATATTCATATCCAAATTTTTATCGAACTTTACGTATGTACACGCCATCATGTGCAAGGCCCCCATTTTTTGCTCTTGGAGACGACTAAATGCGTTAATTGTAGTTATAAACCAATTAGAAAGGACTCGCTAATGTAGGCACTATATGATAAGCAACCTCAATAATGTCTATGGTCTATAATTGTCATTGTTTAGTTCACGTATTAGTGCCCATTGAAATTGGCATAAATGCTTCGTGGTGTGTAGAATGAGTTTTTCAATCTATTTTTTATGTATTTAGATAATGAGATCTCGTGAGCTACTTGAATGGATGGTAAAGTCAATATAAGTTGAAATAAGGTTTATTGCACTGAACAGACGTTCGAATGGGTGGCATAAAAAGAATTTCTATTTGTGTAATACAGAAAAGATCCAAACATGGACATTTTTGCAAGATACGCATTTTATGAGTTCGTCGATATTTTCAACAATGTTATCGTCCAAATATTCGTTTGGTGAATCTTTACTGAAGTTTTCCTCTAATTAAAAAATCCTTGTCCCACGTCGGCTTCCAACAATTTTCATTACGATGCATATAATCAATATTTGACTATAGACAAAATGATGCATGTAATCTATATTTGACTAATAGGGCAAAGAGATTTACGTCTTACTAACAAAAATAAATACAAACCCCTAGTGTGAGGGTGGGGGTGAATGAGACGAAGAAACCCGGTCTGGTATAGTTTTGTGAAATCGCTACACACAAGTCAAATTCAAGATTTAATGTTCTTTATTTTACAGTATTTTACACAATCAACTTCCTACTTCTTAGAAACGCTAAAAAAAATAATCTAGAAAAATAGATGAAGCTGCAGGAAAAGGTGATATAATTTTTATTAATAAATTATAGAAAAAACCAACCAACTATTTTATATCGAAAAAAACTAACTATAATATACTCGTCGAGAGACACATGGTAAATAATTTTCTCCTATAAATGAGACGGTAGCCTTTGTCTGAAGATTGTCAATTTGATTATGGAATAGACTTCATTTACTGTGCATAGAACCAGCCCATGATGTTACGTCAATACTAGATTATTTTTTTAAATTAACCTGCTCTTACCTAATCGATCAAGCCCTAATTGTTGTTGACTGCTTCAGCCTTTCTTAACACAAGGCCTAGGTTTTGCCATTTGTTGTTTGTTAAATTGAAATTTAAAATTTAGTAAGCAAGTGCTATATTAAGAATAAATTGTTTAAAATCCATGTTAACCCACCTGTTAACCTACCGTTTAACCTACTATTATTCCACCTGTTAACCTATCTGTTAACCCACTTCTTAACCTACATATTAAACTACCCGTAAACCTACCTGTTACCTACCTGTCACCACCTCTTAACCCACCTGTTAACCCACCTCTGAACCTACCTGTTAATCCACCTGTCAACCGACCTTTTAACCCACATCTTAACCAACCTATTAACCTACCTATTAACCCACCTCTTAACCTACCTATTAACCCACCTGTTAATCTACCTGTTAACCCAGCTGTTAACCTATTGCTAACCTGCCATTGTATGTAGATATAATGTCCCATTTTAGTGTTAGTTGGTATGTGCACAATCACAAATTAAAGACAAAAATAATTTCTTTCTCTGACCTCGGCTTGTAAAGGGGCAGCACTATATCGTACAGAGGCGGCAAGACTACGTCGTGCAGAGGCGGAACTACCATACGGGGTGGGGGACAGGCCGTTTTCTTTCCATTCTAGTTCCGCCACTGACGCATTAACTACTTAATTTCCTTATCGTGAGTCAGGTTACTATAATAGCTGGGGTGACTACAAAAGCGGTTTATACCTTTAAATGTTTATTTTACTACTACTTTATACAGTAAGCTTCCCTTTCAATTCTGACGGTCTACTAGGTAAGTGAGGTAGAGTTTACTTGTTTCTGTGACCTCGGCATATGAAGGGATAGTGTGGTCCAGCCGCCTTTACTTACTCTAACGTGAGTTAGGTAGGAACCCATCAGAGCTGGGTGAACTAAGTACGGTCTACTAACATGAAACCGGATTGAACTCCAGACTTCCGTGTTAGCAGTCCAGCTTTCTACCGCTAGGCAACTCCATCCCGCTTTATACAGTATCTGTCATTAATAAATACATTTTCTGAATAAAAAACACGAAACAAATAGTTCTTGTAGGGCTTTTCATGTCTACACAACTAAATGCTTGAATCAAATGAAAACACAAATATATAAATAAATATACAGGAGACAACTACTGTGTTCATACTTTGGCGAAAAATAAATGCCATTGCTTGTTACCTCTTGCATCTTTTATTTTATTGTTTTGAAGTAGGACGTTTATATATACAACCGATATATATATATATATATATATATATATATATATATATATATATATATATATATATATATATATATATATATATATATATCAAAAACACGTAACAAAAGGATCTCAAACTGACTGTTGATATTTTAATTATATTCAATGGGGGAAAATTACTTTGAATACGGAGAAAGTTAACTTATAGACCGATTTGAATTTGTCTAAACAAGTGCATTGCTTGAATCCATGAAAGTATATGAATATATAGGATACAACTGTGTGCATCCATTGACGAGGGAAAAATCATTGCTACTTCCCTTTGACCATCTTATTTTTTTTATTATGTCGATGAAGTATAAGGAATTTCAGTAAATAAATATAACGAATTTCGACTGCAGACATTAAGTCTCAGTTACAAACTTGACTGCTGACATTTCTCTTCACTACCATCGTGTTTTGTTTGTCAACAATAACCAAACGAATCAAAAAAAAACTTTGGATTTTTCTAAAACTTTATTTACTAATTACAAAAAGATTTATTGTGTTGATAAACAAAAACACAACATAATGTAAACAATACAAAAATTGACAAAAGCAAAACTAATTAAAGCTTTTCAATTATATACCGATATTATGAGAGTTAGTAAGATGTTTGCTACTTTCGTTATCATAACCATAACAATGTAAGACCGCCCGTAAAGTAGGACTACAATAAATTATATAATTAATTTTTAATTTATTATTATAATTAATATGTTTTAAATATCATCTGATCTAGTCTTTCCGTTAAGTTTTTTAGCGATAAACAAATGACGTGAGAGAAACTACACAAAATATACCTTGTCTTCACCAGAATACAAAGTTGCTGTTGAAGACATTCAAGTCTTGACACACACAAGTTTAATTAAAGGAGCCGCCATTTTGTTTGTTTACATTAGACAAGGGGAGAGAACCAACAGTTAGAGATGGATCAATACAACCACATCCCAAACTCCCCACAATAATTTCCTACAGAGTTTGATCCACTGTGGGGACGAGTCAATAACCCGTCATATCCCGGCATGTAGACACACGCTCCACTGGAGCCTGGACATGTACATGTCGTGTACGTGTACTTGGGCCAAACTTTCCCCTCATGTATGTGTGTCCATTGTCCTACAGAGACCTTTTTAGGACAGCCATGAGGATGTGACACTATAACGGTCAACTTGTCATTATTATCAGATTTCCAGTATTTCTCCCTTATTTTCACACATAGATCATCAAAGCGCCGACACGTCCAGTACAATTCATCAACCAACTCTAAGTCACATGACACACATGTAAACTCACACCTGTCTCTCTCAAAGTGTGCCTCCTCCACCCGCCAGCCATCAAGACTGACCCCAGGACTTTTATTGTCGTCAAAACCTACAACACACTTGGTCTGTCTCGCCTCACTGACATCAAACACCGCGTGTGTGGCTGTGGTCACAAAAACCTCCCCCCACACTTTGCTGGGTGTGTCCGAGTGTTGACACTTGCCACATGGACAAGTGCCCTTGTTGTCACTCTCTGTGTACTTGACCACATCATACACCGTCCCCGTCGCAGTCCTCAACACGTCACTTCCTCTGTTCATATAAAACGGATACTGACCACTGAAGAATGGACCAGACTCTGGTCTTTCTAGACTGGTGTACTTGACCTTTATCAGTACCGTTAGGGCAGACAAAGCTTTGATTTGCTCCAACATGATGACGTCATGGTAACGTGAGGGGAGATGATCCAAGTTAAAATCATTAACAGGTATAAAGTTGACATGACCTGGATTCTTCTTACAGCTGGTATAGTGCTTGTGTAAGTCAGCTTCACCTCCATAGCAGATCTCACATTCATGATGTCCTGGAGAGATACAAGTGGAGGACATTTAAATTAACCCACAAAAAACTATTTGGTTTGTTTTTTGCACGGTTGATGCGGAGATGTTTTACAATAAGAAATCTTGTTTAATATTAATTATTTACAAACATTGACTCTTCAGTTGTGGTTTTTTTTTTTTTGCTGTTTTTTTTTTTTTTTTTTTTTTTTTTTTTTTTTTTTTTTTTAATTTGCAAAACAAAGATTCAAATATTTTTACCTGGAATAAATGGTTCTTTCCGGTTTTCTGTTTCTTCCATGCTCTAACCTTGACCTTCAACCCTGAAACGAGAGACTTTGTTGCCATGTAAACTGTTTTCTACCAAAACTGTTCTACACTCTTCTGTGAAATTATTTCTATAATTAAGATTAAAAATAATTTTGTTTATAGTAACCAAGTAAATAATCAAGTCATTAAGAAATTGTGTTTGATTGACCTTATTGTAAATAAAATGTGCTTGGTTAAATGGTTTACACATTATATGACTGCACATTTACACCTATATGTGGTGTGGTGTGGTGTAGTGTGGTGTGGTGTAGCGTAGTGTGGCGTAGTGTAGTGTAGAGTAGTGTTTTAACTTGAAATCAGAGTCATGATTTATGATCAATTAGGTCTTCGTGTTTTGTTTTGTTTTTTGAAATCCAGTCGTTTATATACTTTATGTATTTAACATGTAGATTCAATTGTTATTTTATGAAATATTTTTAATTTTAATTCAAAAATATTGTTATAATTATTATGTTTTAGTCCATTTCTTATTAAAGCTATCATGCACAGTCATCAAAAGGCTAATTGAGATCGGCCAAATAAAACTATAAGGTACAATACTAATACTTTTGCAAAATGGAAGTAGATCTATATTAAATTATTACAATGCAATGAATAGATTTAGAACATTGACAATAATGTTGCCATTCTAAATTAATTGCTTCACATCCTGTTGTTCAGATAATTCCAATTAAAAATTATTTTAGAAATAAAAAATTTAAAGACATGATCTTGTTTATGATTTATACTAGGAACCCTGGTAATGTTTCGAACTATCTCTTAAACTGTGTATAAACAGCAAGACAGGAAACGACAAAAATATTAGAGGCCTGCCATATAGAAATACTTGACCAAAAATAAAATAAGTAAAAGTTTCAATAAAATTAATACTTCTGGCGGTAGTTAGTCTTATAATAGTTTAATCAGCATAAAATGAAGAAAATACTCACAAAAACTAAATTGTAAGATGGTGTAGGCTCATAACCAATATGGCTGTCTGACGCCCTAGACACTTTCACTTGTAATCTGGAATTTCCGATTACGTGGATCTATTTGTATTTACTCTATTTTTAGATGCGAATATTCCCAAAATTACAACTGAAACGGAATATAAAAAAACGGTTAACGTTCGTTTTCTAACATTACTTTTTTTAAAAATGCAAAAGTGTAAGGTCACACTATCTTCCCCCCCCCCCCCCTACCAACCCCCCAACTCCTCTCTCTCTCTCATCACACATCGTCACAAAATTACTGACCACCCCTCCCATAACTGTCGTTACATGTAATAGTGGAAGAGAAGTGGTTACGAATAATGATGTAGAGTATGTAATGTACGCCTTCTAAAAAATGAAACATTTCACTTCCTGTAAGTGTTATTGAAATTTGGAATTGGGTGCAGCAGAATGTAGACTATTTATTGAATCTGAATATTGAAAGTGTTTAAAGATAAGTACATTAGATGTTCATACCGCGAGGTGGGGTAAGTAGAGGGGTTTGAGTTGGGCAGAATATGTATAGTGCCGCATGTAGACTCGGGTAGCAGATCTAAAAAAAAATGTTCTTTATAGATGGATAGAATGTTGGAGAAGAAAAACGGTAGAAAAAGTGATAACTGCCAATGGCTTTGATCCAGAGGCGTTGCGAGGCGGGGGTGGGGGTGGGTGTGGACCGCACCGGGTGACACCATTTAGGAGTTGACACCATGGTGAAAGATTGCATGCAAAATATATAGAAGAAACTATATATATATATATATATATATATATATATATATATATATATATATATATATATATATATATATATATATATATATCACATAGGTTTTTTCTGAGGGTTTACATTGAGAGGTCCCGCAACAGGTGACACCCGACCTCTCGACACCACTGCTTTGATCAACTATTTTTCCTATTCAGAAAAATATGTTATATTTCGTAAGTATTTGAAGCATTGCTATCTTCTGTTTTATCTCATCAACCCTCAAGATCGGAAAGAGTGATCAGTGGGCAGTTTATTTCTGCCCAAACGCTCCTGTACAGGACTTACCCCATTACATTAACCTTGACATTGGTGGGAAATTTACACCCTATTACTACAACTTAACGGTAGGAGATCTATATGCCTCCTGTGTGGCACGACCAAACACAGTCCGGCCGCCTGTCGAAGTTTGGATGTAAGGGAAAGAGACAATATTCCAATAGATTCTGATATTGATGGTAACTATTTCGACAATGTTTAACTTATAGACGACAGTGAATATGTGTTAGACGACGCCACAGAAATCGATTAACTTAATTAACATGACTAGACAAAGAACAGAAGACGATAACAGACTAGTAGCAACTGCTATTCATAGATCGACTATATGGGATATAAGGAATAAAATCAGATTTTATTGTACAAAATACACTGACATCGTATTAAAAGAAAAGGGAATAATTAATAGGAAATAGGAAAATAATTTTAAAATATTAATTTTAATTAAGACAGTCTCAAGCCAAACATCACTCGACCTGCAGCCTTCGAGTAAATTAACAGCCTGATGTTTTTCTGGTCTAAAAAGGGCACAATCAGAATGGTAGAAAGAGATACGCATCCCACCCCCCCACCCCCCAGAGTTTCTTCCAGGCATCTCTTCGGGGGGGGGGGCGAAAAAATTCTACCGCCCCCCCCCCAACGAAATTAAATTATATAATCTATATACTTTTAACAGTGCCCGCTTCCCCCCCCCCCCCGAGGAAGGTCTACCGCCCCCCCCCCGAAAATTTCAAGTGCCCCCCGGAGAAAAAAGTCTGGAAGAAACACTGCACCCCCCCCCCCCCCACACACACACACACACCTCACTCATAACCGGACTGGCAAATATATCAGGGCAGCGTGCTCTCATCGCCAGGGGTCAATTTTATGTCATGGAAAATGTTCGAATGATAGATTAGTAAGAGTATTACAGAGACCCTTCTCCCACGGTCGTTTCTATTTCTATCTATTGGTGGCTACAATGTGAACTTTTGATTTCGAAGCTGAGGATGAAGCACAGTAAACTAAGCAGTCAAAAGAAACCGAGTTTGCACACCTTCTATTAGTGTAATTCTTATTCCACATTATTTTTTTTCATCTAATTACTATATATACAATTGATGTTCATGTCTTAAAGCTGTATAAAACAATCAAATAAATTATTATTACTAAAAAAATAGATTGAAGACAACTGTGGGCATCCATTGACGAAACATAAATTTCATTGTTACTTCCTTATGTCCATTTTTATTTTAATTCAATGTGTCTAAGTTGGAAGGTTTTATTGGCAACTAGACCACCCGTCATCATCTGGATAACTGTGGGTTTCGGGGGTCATCTATAAATGGCATCACGTCTGTCACTCATCGTCACAAAGAGCAGCCACCACATTCAAAAAGACGTCACACCTCAGACGTTTTTGTCTTTTTAAAACACCGATTTCGGCTGAGCAGGGTTCTGACCACACCATCCCTTCATATACTGTCGTCACATGTGGTTTCTACGCCTGCCCAACTCTGCTTCACCTGCCCAGTCACCGGCAAGCTTCAGGCAACAGGTTTTTATCGTCTAAAAACACTTATTTCGGTCGAGCACGGGTCTGACCACATATTCCTTTCAAACAGGTGAACTCTTCTTCACCTGATCTGTGTCCCGCGAAGTCCCGATAAGCAACTTTATCATTCACGTTTTTTTTTAAATTTGTACAAAAAAATTAACTTTTGTCGTTAAGTGTCTCGAACCCGTACCATACGCATGTTAACTATTACACGTTCATCTTAACTATGTGTGCGCTTACAATCAGTATTAGTTCTATAATTTACTTCAAAGTAAGAAACATCAGTTACGCGAATAGGCCTTATTATTTCAAATTAAATTATATCCCAAATTAGCCAAATTTGTATCTAAACAAACAACGATTATACAATTAAGACCGGAAATAGTTTAGTATATAGATTCAAGATCTAGATAGAGCTAGATCTTGAATATAGATGTAAAATTTACTTTAAGTTTAGATGTAGAACTTACGTTAAGCCTTAAGTCTAGTTTTTCCGTAACTCTAGATCTAGAACCTAAATAGATAAATACCATGTATTCTCGAATTAGATAATCATTGAAGCTTAAACACAATAGATGTATATCGAATATTCAAGGACTATCATAGTTCTATAAAGAAACTCAATAATTTATTGTGATTTAATACTTATTTTTTATTTTGCTAATTAAATTTGGTTTAACCTAGATTCTAGATTTTAGATCTAAGATTGACTTTATCTTCGTCTGATAGCTGATCTCTAGATCTAGAGAAATTTATTGTATACTCAAATTAGAACAACTGTTGAAAATTGATAATAGTAAACCTAATAAAAAATAGCAAACGGACCTATCGTTAAAGCTATAACCGACAGACAATTAGCTTTATAATGCGTTAAACTTTTGGATGGACAACAAAATCTTCGATGGAAGCCGCCACTGTTGTTATTAAAAGTAAATAAATCATGTGACGTCAGTATAAGTAAAGTCGTTGTTCTGAATTTTTATAATTAAATTTGTGTTTATGAATGAATATATCAATAAATTAATAAACGTCTTTAAATAAATTTGTGATTAACAGTTTGGTCAAAAAGAACATTGTTCTCTACCTAAATGCTATTCTACAGCTCTACACATAGTGCAGATTCTCTCCTGTAACCAAGCAGACAATTTTTTTTTAAATATGCAAACATGTAAACAAACTTGAGTTGTAGTAGTATATAGACAGATAGATGTCAGTAGATATCTATAACCAATTTGATGGCGAACATTAAGTCTTAGCTACAAACTTGACTGTCGACATAAAATCTCAGCTACAAACTTGACTGCCGACATTTCTCTTCACTAACATCGTGTTTTGTTTATCATCAACACAAAACATTAAGATTATCAACGATAACAAAATGAATATAAGTAACTTTGAAACATTTTAAAACTTTATTGACATCTATACAAACAGTTTTGTAAGCAAATACAAACATGAATTAAAGTACAAATAAAGACAATGATAGCGAAGACAAATCTAATGTGGAGGTTTAAACAAAACAAAGATACAAGTGTAACCTATAAATATTTCATTTCTCAACAATAAACATTTGTTTATAATTTTGTTTATGTGTCTAACAACTCTAAACAAATGACGTGAAAGAAACTAAACAATTTATTTCTTGTCTTCACCAGAATACAAAGTTGCTGATGAAGCCATTCAAGTCTTGACACATCCAAGTTTAATGAAGAGAGCCGCCATTTTGTTTATTTACATTAGACAAGGGGAGAGAACAAACAGTTACATTAGACAAGGGGAGAGAACTAACAGTTACATTAGAGAAGGGGAGAGAATCAACAGTTTCATTAGACATGGGGAGAGAGCCAACAGTTACATTAGACAAGGGGAGAGAATCGACAGTTTCATTAGATATGTGGAGAGAGCCAACAGTTACAGGTGGATCATACACCCAGCTACCCTTCTCACTATACTCTCCATCACAATGGGGACCTGCGCACCACTTGTCATATCCCGGCATGTAGACCCACGCTCCAATGGAACCTGGACATATACATGTGTACGTGGACCTCTCATGTTGGTGTGTCCATCGTCCTACTGAGACCTGTTTAGGACAGCCATGAGGATGTGACACTATAATGGCCATCTTGTCCACATCATCAACTGTCCCGTATTTGTCCTTTACTTTCTTACATAGGTCTTTAAAGTGCTGCAACATCTTGTCCAGTTCATCAAGCAACTCTAAGTCACACGACACACATGTAAACTCACAAAAGTCTGACTCTATGATTGCCCACCTCACATCCCAGCCTTCAAGTTTGACCCCAGGACTTTTATTGTCATCAAAACCTACCACACACATGGTCTGTTTCACCTCACTGTCATCAAACACCACGTGTGTGGCTGTCACCACACAAACCTCCCCCCACATTTTGTTTGGTGTGTCCGAGTGTTTACACTTGTCACATGGACAAGTACCCAATTTGTCACTCTCTGTGTACTTGGCCACACGCCACACCCTCCCCGTCCCTGTCCTCAACACGTCACTTCCTCTGGTGTTATAAAATGGATACTGGCCACTGAAGCATGGAGCAGACTCTGGTCTCTCTAGACTGGTGTACTTGACCTTTATCAGGACCGTTAGGGCAGACAATGCTTTGATTTGCTCCAACACGATGACGTCATGGTAAGGTGAGGGGAGATGATCCAAGTTAAAATCATTCACAGGTATAAAGTTGACATGACCTGGATTCTTCTTACAGCTGTTATAGTGCTTGTGTAAGTCAGCTTCACCTCCACAGCAGATCTCGGCTTCGTGATGTCCTGGAGAGATACAAGGTGAGAGAATTGAAAGTAATACCATACAAAATTTCGTTTGCTTTTTTTTTGCATGGTTGATGCAGATGAGATATTTTATAATAGGAAATTTTGGTAAATCTATATATATATATATATATATATATATATATATATATATATATATATATATATAATTCTCTTCTTAGAGACGAAGGAAACACCAAGCTGTAAGCGCGCTCGATACCACCCCCACCCCTACATGGTCTGGTGAGCTGTGGTTCACGCTAAATGTTTACTATCGTAGAGCCGGGTTTAGTGACGGCTATAAAGGGCAAATAATTTAGTTTGAAACGATTTTAAACTTAGGGGAGGTAACTAAGAGGAGTTTACTTTCACAGAGGGGAGTGTGGGGTAGGGGTTGGGGAAACGAGGGTGGTTTTCGTCCTTAATTTGCTACTGATAGTGTTTTAAAGCAACTATTTTCAGTGACAGCGTTGGTACTGTCGAATTCACAAATTATGAAGAGTAGAAAATAAAACAACTACATAGCGGCATATGATACGCTGCGGGTCGGCTCGTATTAATTATTTACAACCTTTGACTCGTCTGTATTTTATAAATATTTTTTTTATTTTTTAAACTCAAATGCCTTTACCTGGAATAAAAGGTTCTGTCCCATTTCCTGTTTCTTCCATGCTTTAACCTTGACGTCCAACCCTGAAATAAGAGAATTTGTTGCCATGTAAGCTGTTTTCTACCATAGCTGTTCAACAGTTTTCTGTGAAAATCTTTTTGTAGCTAAGATTAAAAATGTGTTTGTAAGTAAATAATAAAGTCATTAAGAAATCGTATTTGATGGAACTAATACTAATAGGAATAAAATGTGATTTGTTAAATTGTATATTATATCACTGTATATTAGATTTATAGTTACTGTTTTATACTTATTATTTCCCAGTTACATAGTTCATGAAATGTCTAAAAAATAATCAAGAGTATATGATTGGTTTGAGCAAAACTAAAATGGTTTACCTAGCAATAGCATACATCCAATTACAGAATACACATGGTTGCAAAGTAAGTTCTCTGCTTAGATCTGGCAGAAATTGGCTTTCAATTGTCAGTGCTTGTTATCTTTTCTTTCTCCAATATTTCCGAATGTGATCTTGTATTTCCTGTGAAAACAAGCATACAATTAGACTACACTTAATTATAAAAACATGAATATTAAGCAATTAGCTTGTAAAAAAAGTTTAACTAGAGTGCTTTTGTATGAATCAATCACAAGTTGAATGCCTACACTGGTAAGCGTTACAGTATAAATGAACCATTTGACCATGGTGGAATAAAATGTCCATGGCTTAAATAAATTTACTAATTTATTAATATATTAATCAATTATAGTGTAGTTTATGTAAAGTCACTGCTAAATTTTGTAAGCCTATACTATATTATTTATTTATTGAAATGATATTCACATAAATAAATGAAGGGAAAACTGTATCCACTTCCTATTAAACCACTGTTTGTCAAACTTATTGTCTGGAACACTTGTCTCAGACCACTTACAAAGTAATTTGATAAAGCATAGAGTGAAGTTGTGATCGATTGGGTAAAGCCCATGGTTGCTAAACCGAAAAGTCTCGAGTTTGAACCATCAGTCAAATAAGGCTCAATAATTGGGGACAACAACTTATCTAGCAGAGACAACTCCCAAGTCAAACTGCTGCCTTGTAGTTTATTCTTTGTTAGACAAAAAGAAAAGCAGGCTGAAACTGTGTCAATGGCCTATATGGCACATAAACAGTTGCGACTTAATACGTAATTGTGTTCAGGGAATACATTCCTCCAATAGAAGGAAGAAGAAGTTGAAGAAGAGAAAGCATCAAACATTTCCTCCAATAGAATGAAGAAGAAGAAGAGAACGCATCAAACATTTCCTCCAATAGAAGGAAGAAGAAGAAGAGAAAGTATCAAACATTTCCTCCAATAGAAGGAAGAAGAAGAAGAGAAAGTATCAAACATTTCCTCCAATAGAATGAAGAAAAAGAAGAAAGCATCAAACATTTCCCACACCCAAGTTGCTGATGGCCAGGTTTTTGCCAGACTTTTGTTTACTCCCTGGCACATCGCACTACCTGGTTGTATTTGGGGACATCTCTACAGACTTAATTAACTAGTGACATTCTGGTTAGGTAGTGTGTATTCTAACTCTATACCAAGATGTTCCCAAACTACTAACATTCTTTATACAAATAAAGTTTTCTAATTTTCTATTTATAAAAACATGTATAAGGATAAAGGCATAATACTCAGCTATATGCCCATAGCCTATTTATATTTAGCTTGTATAATTTTGTATATAGGGCCTACATTTGTCAGAAAAAAAGTTATACATAAATAATTTATAGAATTTCAGTAGTTAAAAATGAATGCTACCCTACTTAATAATTGTAAAAAAAAAAATAATTTTAATTTTTAAAAATTGTGTAATAAATTTTAGTATACAATATTTATTTTAAAAGTAAATTAAAGTTCCCTTAATAAATCTGATGGTCCAAATGAAGTAGAGTTCACCTTTTTTTATGATCTCAGCCTATGAAGGATTAGTGTCATCAGTGCTATGCCCTTATTAATAGTATAACTACTTGTTTTAATTGATTCAAATAATGTTTAGAATAAGTTATAGGCCTATATTCCAGTACATTTTGGTAGTATTTATAAATTAAAAATTATTATTATTAATTATAATGCATTAAAGCAGGAGCGAATAGTCTAGCTGTTTTCTACCAAAACATATCTACACTCTTCTGTGAAATTCTTTCTATAACTAAGATTAAAAATATGTTGTTTATAGCAACCAAGTGAATTAAGTCATTAAGAAATCGTTTTTGATGGACTTTATTGGAAATAAAATGTGATTGGTTAAACGGTTTACACATTATATGACTGCATATTAGGTATATATGTAGTGTGGTGTGGCGTGGCGTGGCGTGGTGTAGTGTAATGTAGTGTTTTAACTAGCAATTAGAGTCATGATTTATAATCAATTAGTTCTTCGTGCTTTTTTAAAGCCAATTGTTTATTTGCTTTATGTATTTAACATGTAGATTGAATTGTTATTTTACGAAATATTTTTAATTTTAATTCAAAAATATAATTACAGTTTTTATGTTTTAGTCCCATTCATATTAAAGCTATCAAAAGCCTTATAAAGATAGCCCTAAAAATAAACTGTCATCTGGTGCTAGGGCCTTGTCGTGGTTGGCAGGTTGTGTACCCCGACGACCCCCAGAGTTATACCAGTGGGAGTGTTAACTCTTGGCATGTTCTACCAGCTGGGAAGGTCTGCGCGGGTAGGGGTCATACGAAAGCTAGCACCCCGGTCCTCTAGGTTGGGGGTTGAGTATAAGGTCAGCAACCTTATATCGTAAAACAAATGACTCGCTACAGAAACGCAGACGAAGAGAAATAAAGACAGCTTGCACCAGGGGAAGAATGGATCTCCCGGTGGAGAATTCATGAAGCCGGGTGGTGAAAGCCAATATCTAAGAAGATTGGATACACCTGGGGGCAGTTGGAGAGACTAGCCCAGGACAGAGACGCCTGGATAGCTCTTGTCAGCGGCCTATTTTCCAGGAGGGACGACAGGCAAACCTAACTTAACCTAACCTAACCTAAAAATAAACTATAAGGTACAATACTAATACGTTTGCAATATGGAAGTAGAACATTGACAATAGTTTTTCCATTTTAAATTAATTGTTTCAAACCGAAAAGCCTCGAGTTCGAACCCTCGGGCAGATGAGGCTCGTTAGCTGGGGACAGCCACTCTTCTAGGGGAGACTACTCCAAATTGAAACAACTGCTGCCATGTAGTTTGTTCTTGATATGGAGGCAAATCCAAAAAGAAAAGCAGGCTGAAATCGGTGTCAATGGCTTCAATGGTGCATAACCAGTTGACACGTAATCCTCATATGTGATGGAAGCATGGTCGAGTCGGCAAAGCTCATGGTTGATAAAATTCGAAAAAAGTCTCGAGTTCAAACCCTCTGCCAGATAAGGCTCAATCCCTTCCAACACTAGAAATTAAGAACGAAGAAGTTTCAAACCAATTTTACGACTGATTGTTTTATTTATGTTGTTCTTATACTTTCATTTACAGATAATTTTTGAAAAAAAAGTTTAAAGACATGTTCTTGTTTAAAATAAGTTATGCTAGAAGCCCTGGTAATGTTTGGGAACTATCCTCTTAAACAGCAAGACAGAGTTACGACAAAAATATGATAGGCCTGAAATATAGAAATACTTAACCAAAAATAAAATAAGTAAAAATAACAATACAATTAATACTTCTGACGGTAATTAGTCTTAAAATAGTTTAATCAACATAAAATGAAGAAAATACTCACAAAAACTAAATTGTAAGATAGTGTAGGCTCATAACCAATATGGCTGTCTGACGCCCGAGACACCTTGAAGTTTATTCTGGAATTTCCGATTACGTGGTTTCCTATATCTATATTTAGTATAGTTTAAGATTTGAATATTCCCAAAATTACCAAGCTACTAAGTGTACAATTTTTGCTACTAAGTGTTGAGTCCGACCTAAAGCGACCATTAATGTGGTCGTGTATAGACATGATGATGGGGGGGGGGGCCTTATGAGGTCACTCATATATTAAATTATAGATCAAAATTTATGTTAGTTATTAAAAAATTATTTTATCATGTACACCAAACGGTTGAATGTTTCTTAAAACAACATCGATATAGGTCCAAAATCTTGTCTGAACTCCGTCAACAGAGTATTTTAATTAATTTCTGTTATAATTCATTAAAACAGTTTTCTAAAACGCGAAATAACGGTAAACGTTCGTTTCCTAACATTGCTTTTTTAAAATGCAAAAAGTGTGACATAACAACATCGCCCCCCCAACCCCCCCCCCCCCCCCCTCCCATAATACACTGTCACAAAATTACGAACCCCCCCTCCTCCTCTCTATGAGTGTGGCGTCATTTATGGACGACCCCATAACTGTCATTACGTGTTATAGTGGAAGGGGGGTAAGACAAATGACGTACCTTATTTAATGTAGACCTTCTTTTAAAAAAATTAAACATTTAACTTCCTGTGAGTGTTATTGAAATAAGGGAATGGGGTGCAAATTCTGGGCAAATTAACGTATGGTCCCATTTAAATGTGTCTAAACAAGTAGGCCTACAGCGCTTATTAAATCAATGAAAATATATGTATAGGAGACAACTGTGTGCATCCAATGATGGAACATAAATTTCATTGTTACTTCCCCTTGACCATCCTATTTTACATCATTGTGTCGAAGAACGAAGTTTTTATTAGCCAAGTAACTAAATATACAGATCTATATTGAACTTGACAGCCAACATTAAGGCTCAGCTACAAATTTGACTGCCGACATTTCTCTTCACTATCATCGTGTTTTGTTTATTATGAACACAAAACATTGAGACTATCAACGATAACAAAATAAATGAAAGAAACTTTGAATTTTCCCAAAACATTTATTTACTTATTACAAAAAGATTTGTTTTTCTTGATAAACAAAAACACAACATTATATAAACACGAAAAAAAAAATGACATAAGAAAAAATTATTACATTTTTTTCTAAATTATATACATAAACTATATACTGATATTATGGGAGTTAGTAAGCTATGGATATAGTAAGGCCATTTTAGGTTGATCACAGATTATCACTGTAGGTTTGCAACTTTCTTTATCATAGCCATAACCACGGCAGACCAACCGTAAGTAAGACTACAACAAATAAAAAAATAGCATCAATATTTTAAGCGTCTTTAATGTAGAATTTAGAATAGTTTAGATCTAGTCATTCAGTCACCGTTACAAATTTAAAGCATGTGTTTACACATTCTGTGTTTAGTTTTGAACTATAAACTAAAGGCGTTATAGAAATTAAACAATTTCGTTCTTGCCTTTACCAGAATACAAAGTTGCTGTTGAAGACATTCATGTCTTGACACACACAAGTTTAATGAAGTGAGCCGCAATTTTGTTTGTTTACATTAGAGAAGAGGGGAGAACCATAAGTTACATTAGACAAGGGGAGAGAATCAACAGTCACAGGTGGATCAATACAACCAAGTCTCCCCACAATAATTTGCTTCAGAGTTTGATCCACTGTGCGGGAGTGACCACAACCTGTCATGTCTCGGTATGTAGACATGTGCTCCACTGGAGCCTGGACATGTACATGTTGTGTACGTGTACTTGTACCAACCTCTCCCCAAATGTTCGTGTGTCCATTGTCCTACAGAGACCTGTTTAGGACAGCCATGAGGGTGTGATACTATAACGGCCAACTTGTCCACATCATCAAATGTCCCGTATTTGTCCCATACTTTTACACATAGATCACCAAAGTGCCGACACGGTGACAGGACAAATGATCTCAGGACAAATGATCTCAGACAAAATATCTCAGACAAAATATCTCACGGACAAATGATCTCAGGACAAATGATCTCAGGACAAATGATCTCAAGGACAAATGATCTCACGGACAAAAGATACCAGGACAAAATATATCAGGACAAATGATACCACGGACAATTGATCTCAGACAAAATATCTCAGACAAAATATCTCACACCAAATTTTAATAGAGTAGTTGATGATTTTAGCTGATCTGAATTTTTTTTTACTGATTGTCATATGGTTATGTTTATTATGTTTTAATATTGTTTATAGGCCTATATAATAATTGTAAGAAATGTTTGCCGTATAAATTTGTCATATTGCACTAAACATTTTAAAGTTAGTATTAGTAATGTAGTATACGAAGATTAAAGATTGTTTTTGATAGACAGCGTAGGTGGGCTTGCCAAACATGAGACAATCGTACCACGTCAGGTGGACGAAACTAGATAAAAGGAATGAAATAACAATAAAGATACACCTTCGTATCAAGGTGGCCGCCCGCTTTGATGGTAGAGACATACCTTAAGGGAAAGACATCCGCCCTCCATGGACAATACAACTAGCATCAACAGTCAATAGTTATGCGTCGGTCACACCTTAGTGATCAGGTGACAAATTCTTTTTTAAACAAACAGCGGTCATCGCGGAGCTAAGTTTGTCGTAGTGTGCATCAAACAAACCAGTATTAGTGGTGATTACTCAGTTATGGCCTATTTCGTTACCTCGCAGATAGATTTAAGGACATTAGTTTCTGGTGAATTTATGTTTGCCATAAGCAGGCAAAGAGATTTGGAAATGTGAAACTAGGACATGTCGAGCAAGAGTTCACACAATATATGATCACATAGTATTGGAGAGGTGTGATCATATTGATGTACCTGCCAGCAAAGAAACGTAAACGTTATGTTTGTGTTGATGATGCAATAAAAACAATAGTTTATCGTTACGATCCTGAAGACCCATTCACATTTTTGAAAAATATTTCGCGTGTTTTGAAACTTAATGTTGTGTAACTACCATTACTTTATTTGTTTTATACATTATCATTTATTACAAATTTCAGGCTAAAGGAGTACGTTTGTTATAATTTTTACTTTTTCGAATCAAATGCTTCGACAAAGTTTAATAAATCTTTTGATGGTTTGTTAGGTTTAACAAATTCATTTTATTCACAATTATTATGCGTAAAAAAGTAAACAAACCCATATTAACAGTCAATAAAAAAAAGTTCAAATCAACTAAAATCATCGCACATACTATTAAAATTTCGCTGTGAGATATTTTGTCTGAGATATTTTGTCTGAGATCATTTGTCCATGATATCATTTGTCCTGATATATTTTGTCCTGGTATATTTTGTCCGTGAGATCATTTGTCCTTGAGATCATTTGTCCTGAGATCATTTGTCCTGAGATCATTTGTCCGTGAGATATTTTGTCTGAGATATTTTGTCTGAGATCATTTGTCCTGAGATCATTTGTCATGGAACCGCCGACACATCTTGTACAGTTCATCAAGAAACTCTAAGTCACATGACACACATGTAAACTCACACCAGTCTCCCTCAATGTCTGCCCTCCCCACCCCCCAGCCATCAAGACTGACCACTGGACTTTTATTGTCATCAAATCCTACAACACACCTGGTCTGTCTCGCCTCACTGACATCAAACACCACGTGTGTGGCTGTCCCCACACAAACCTCCCCCCACACTTTGCTGGGTGTGTCCGAGTGTTGACACTTGCCACATCGACAAGTGCCCTTGTTGTCACTCTGTGTACTTGTCCACATGCCTCACCCTCCCCGTCCCTGTCCTCAATACGTCACTTCCTCTGGTGTTATAAAATGGATACTGACCACTGAAGCATGGAACAGACTCAGGTCTCTCTAGACTGGTGTACTTGACCTTTATCAGGACCGTTAGGGCAGACAAAGCTTTGATTACCTCCAACATGATGACGTCATGGTAAGTTGAGGGGAGATTATACAAGTTAAAATCATTAACAGGTATAAAGTTGACATGACCTGGATTCTTCTTACAGCCGGTATAGTGCTTGTGTAGGTCAGCTTCACCTCCATAGCAGATCTCAGCTTCATGATGTCCTGGAGAGATAGATGGGGATGTCATTTAAATTTACAAAAACTATTTGGTTTGTTTGGGTGTTTTTTTTTGTTTTTGTTTTTTTTTTGTTTTTTTTTGCATGTATGATGCAGAGGAGATATTTTACAATAGGAAATTGTGTTTGATATTAATTATTTTAATTTTTTTTTTCCTTTTTTTTTTTTTTTTTTTTTTTTTTTTTTTTTTTTTTATGTACAACAAAGATTCAAATATTTTTACCTGGAATAAATGGTTCTTTCCTGTTTTCTGCTTCTCCCATGCTTTACCATTACTTCTAACCCTGAAACAAGAGAATTTTTTTACATGGAAGCTGTTTCTACCAAAACTGTTCTACACTCTTCTGTGAAATTATTTCTATAATTAAGATTAAAAATAATTTTGTTTATAGTAGCCAAGTAAGTAATTCTTTAAGAAATCGTGTTTGATGGACCTTATTGGAAATAAAATGTGATTGGTTAAATGGTTTACATATTATATGACTGCATATTAGATCTATATGTGGTGTGGTGAGGTGTGGTGTCGTGTCGTGTCGTTTGGTGTCGTGTGGCATTCCGTAGTGTAGTGTAGTGTTTTAACTAGAAATCAGAGTCATGAGTTATGATCAATTAGGTCTTCGTGTTTTGTTTTGTTTTTTGAAATCCAGTCGTTCATATACTTTGTGTATTTAACATGTAGATTAAATTGTTATTTTACGAAATATTTTCAATTTTAATTCAAAAATATACTTATAATTTTTATGTTTTAGTCCTATTCTTATTAAAGCTATCTTGCACAGTCATTAAAAGACTAATTGAGATAGGCCAAATAAAACTATAAGTCTATAAGGTGCAATACTAATACGTTTGCAAAATGGAAGTCGATCTATATTAAATTATTACAATGCCATGAATAGATTTAGAACATTGACAATAATGTTACCATTCTAAATTAATTGCTTCAGATCGTATTATTTAGATGTTTTCATTTAAAGATAATTTTAGAAATAAAAAGTTTAAAGACATGTTCTTGTTTATGATTTATACTAAGAACCCTGGTAATGTTTTGAATTATCATCTTACACAGCAAGACAGGAAACGACAAAAATATTATAGGCCAGCCATATAGGAATACTTGACCAAAAATAAAATAAGTAAAAATAACAATAAAATTAATACTTCTGGCGGTAGTTAGTATTAAAATAGTTAAATCAACATAAAATGAAGAAAATACTAACTAAAACTAAGTTGTAAGATAGTGTAGGCTCATAACCAATATGGCTGTCTGACGCCCTAGACACCTTGAAGTTTATTCTGGAAATTCCGATTACGTGGTTTCCTATATCTATATTTAGTATGTTTTAAGATTTGAATATTCCCAAAATTACCAAGCTGAAACGGAATATAAAAAACTGCATTTGTTATTTTATATAAAAGAATCATTTATATTTGGCTGCTAAAATGTGAGGTCAACCTAATGCGACCATTAATGTGGTCGTGTATAGACTTGGTGGGGGGAGGGGGGGAGCTTTGTGCGGTCACCCATACATTAAATTTGACATCAAAATTGTTGTTAGTCATTAATACAAAATACAAAAAGACGACACACCGTCTTGACCCCCCCCCCCCTTCGCCCTCTCCCTCATCACGCATCTTCACAAAATTAAGGACCCCCTCCTCTCTACGAGTATGAAGTCATTTATGGACGACCCCAAAATGCATGATACTAGGGCGTTAGCTTATGACAATAAAATGGGTTGGTTTTAGAGTTATAAAACACAAACAACGGCAGAATTATGACGAATTATTAAAAATTCACAGAAATTGAAATTTACTTAGTCAAATAGCGTCAGATTGCGTAGTGAGGTGATAACCAAAATTTAAATTGAATATTATACTATGTAATGCATAGGGTCTACATTGCATTCACACAAGCATACAGACTAACCGTTACAATCAACGAAAAATGCAATACCGTCTGTGCTTACAAGAGAGGTTTTGGATAGTCATTTTTTTAGGTAAAAGATATCTAGATTGAATTATTTTGGACTAAACTCCCTAGATGCGTTTCTTAGTTACCATTTCGGGCCTGGTGATCATAGGGAATATTAGGTAAAATGTACGTATGTATTTGTTCTCAACAAATTAGGAGACATTATGATCAGTTCTAGATCTAGATATATGCATAGGCTTTAAAAATATGGGATACCCATGTGAGGGTGTACTCGGATATAAGGCTGGGATCACAACTCAGGAGTTAGCAGTAGTTCGTACTACAACCTATTGTAAATACTCGTAACTTTTAAATTTTAAAAATCATAATAGGCCACAAACCGTTAGATTTAATTAATAAGCTTGAATTACTTTGACGACTACGATCTAGATTTATCTTGAAAACATAAGAAATCGTCAATTTATGGAACCAACACTTTAAACGATTGTGGATGCGTAAGGATGGCGTATGGTGGGGAGAGGTTCCATACGGACATCACATCATATAAATCTTTCTTGTTAATAGCATAAATAAACCGGGAGTGATCTCCCCTAAACTTTCTCGAATAGTCTTATATGAAACAACAGGGGGTGGCAACTCGGGAGATAGATAATAATAGAATAAAATCTCGTAGAAAAAAAAGAAAAAATATCGAGACTGATTTTAAAAAATGTCTGACCAACAAAACTTTGATACCAAAAGGTCGAATGATAAGTGACCGACTGCTTCAAGGCAGAATGCTAAATGACCGACAACTTCAAAGCAGATTGCTAATCAGCAGACATGAAGTAAAACAGAATTTACTGTCGGTCATTTGCCTGTGACGAGTTTTTGCATGTCTTGAGGGTGAAGCTGAATTGCACAAGCGCTTAACCAGCTGTAAGAAGAATCCAGGTGATGTCAACTTTATTCCCAATAAAAATTAAAGAAAAGACCATCTCCCCTCACGTTACCGAAACTGTTTAGTGTTGAAGGCAATAAAAGCTGTGTCTGCCTTAACTGTTCTGATTAAGGTCAAGCACATCAGTGAATGGTGGCCAAAATTTGTTCCACGTTTTGGTAGTCTGTATCCATTTTATAACTTAAGAGGACTTAGCCTTTTGATGGTAGGAACGGGAAGGGTGTGGCAAGTGGTCAAGTACACAGAGACTGACAATATTGGCACTTGTCCATGTGGCAAGTGGTCAAGTACACAGAGACTGATGATATAGGCACTTGTCCATGTGGCAAGTGTGAACACTCGGACACACCCAGCAAAGTGTGGGGGGAGATTATGATAGTGACAGCCACACACGTGGTGTTTGATGACAGTGAGGCGAGACGTACAGAATGTGTTGTAGGTTTTGATGACGATAGAAGTCCTGTGGTCAGTCTTGATGGCTGGAAGGTCAAGACGGACCCATTTTTTACTGACAGGTGTGAGCTCATTTGTGTATCATGTGACCTGAAAATGCTTGATAAATTGAAAAAAAAGCTTTTGATCTTTGATAATGTATCTCAAGTCTTGAGTTACAAATATAAGGATTGTATTAAAGTTGACAAGTTGACCGTTATAGTGTCACATCCTCATGGATGTCCTAAACAGGTCTCTGTAGGACAATGGAAACAAGAATATTTTAGGAAGGGCTGGTACAGGTACACGTACACAACATGTACATGTCCTGGCTCCAGTGGAGCGTTTGTCTACATGTTAGGGTATCATAGGTGGTCTCTTACCCACAGTGCAGCAAACTCAGAAGAAAACTATAGTGGGCAAGCTTTACATAATCGATACCGGGAGTATTGGGAAATGGGAGAAATGTAGACTAACATTAAATTGCATTAAATCAGGTTTTCTTTACAAAAATTCTAAAGAAGATAAGCGAGTGCATTTGCACAATCTATACAAATACATGTGCGAAAAATATCATTTCTCTTCTTTGTTTGAATGTTTAGTTAGCCAAGTTTTATTCTAGCGAAGAAAGTGAATTAATATTTATTTTGAACGATTGTTTAGAGGGATTTAAAAAAATAAAAACATTTTCATTTTTTTTTAATATGATAGAAATAAATCGGGAGTAATCTCCCCTAAACTCTCTCATATAGTCTTATTTATCATTAAGGAAGATAGTGTTATTGGAATGTAAATTTATTTTTTTTTAGTTTTTAGTACTTCGCACCAAACACCAAATGATCGCGTACCAAAATGTGTATAATAGCACGAAAACCTTGTATTTTATAAAGGAACCATTGATATTTTTTTTTAAGTGAATTAAACATTTAATTAAGTTTCAATTTATGTCACATGAAATGGTCATTGAGTCTTTACCTACATGAAAAGTTTGAAACAAATTGATATTTTTTTAGAAATCTAAAATACCGTAAATTACTACTTCCGGTTTCCGGAAACCACTCAAAACGTGAAAGATTTAAGATAATACCTTTTCATACCAATGTATAAAATTCCGTTAACCTAATTGAAACTGTACTTAATGTATGGGTATTTTACAAAACGGAACTTGAGTATAATAGCACTGGCGTTTATCGGAGATCATTCAAATATATTTAAAAAATATAAGTAAAAGATCCTCTATTTATATATAAAAAATTTCTAGCTGGAAACATCACTGATGTTATATTATTCACACACAAATAGAAGTATCACATCCGATTGCCGGAAATTGTTCAGTAGTTAAAAAAAATACTGCACATACAATTTAATGCATAAAAAAACTTCTTCACACTTTAACGGCTTTCTAGTAGTTGGACTTTAAAAAACGGAAGAAGAGTGTGTAACACTTCCGGTTATTGGAAATCGCTTAAAAATTGAGACCAAATTACAAATTTTATATAATACTTACAAATGAAATTTCGTCAACATTACTGAAATGGTACTCTAACAATCGTGTTTACGGATATACAGACAAAATTGCAAAAGCAAGTTTTTTCTTTTCCAAACGTTTGTTTAAAAAATTTAGCAAAATTACAATACATCCTTTATTTTCCGTATATGAAGTAAGGAGGTATAAAACAGCTAAAACTATCAAAATGTTTTATTTTTCAGGACAATTATAACACATCCATTATACTTCCTTTATTTCATTCATATCATGTTTGTTTTCTTCATTCACTTTTTTACTAGTTTTGATTACATTTTAAAATTATATACATTTAAATGAAAATGTGAAGGTTAATGTCAATGTAAGTGAATGTGAGTGTGAATTTAAACGTAAATGTGAAGTTGAATGTAATTGTCTAAGCGCCCATGACGACTCAAAGTACGTTTGACTTTTTTCTTTTGTTATTAGATTGTTAATTTTATTGTCATTTAAGTGATTTTTATTCAGTAAAAAATTAATCTTTTTTCCTTAAGAGTATAGTGTTACTGCTGTATTAGTTAGCAATATAAAATATATCTATATTCCACTAAAACTAGAGTTTGTTTACTAATTTATATATATATATATATATATATATATATATATATATATATATATATATATATATATATATATATATATTTACTTTGTCTGTTTGGCTACAAGAGAGCATCTGCACTATATGTAGAACGGTAAAATACGTATTTATGTAGAGAATTATGTTAATTTTTACCAAACTGTTAAACACAAATTCATTTAAAGACGTTAATTAAGTTATTGATATTTTCAATAGTAGAAACACCACTTTAATTATAGATGTTCAGAACATTTTTATATATATATAGTGTCGTCACATGATTTATTTACTTTTTTCACAACATACATGGAAGACCATGTTGCCCATTCAAAAATTAAACGCATTATAAAGTTGAATTTTCTTTCGGCTATAGCTTTAACGTTACGTCTGTTTACTTTTTTTTTTAGGTTCCAATACTATTATCAATTTTTAATAGGATACGCTGGGCAGTTCTTCTAATTTGACTGTACAATAAATTTATCTATCCTAGATCTAGAGATTCTAATCTAGATCTACCGATAGGCCAAACCTAAATTAATTAGTTAGAAACATAAAACAAGTTAAAATGGATAAAGAAATTTGATACGAAAATAACTAGTGGAATCGATAGGGATAATGTTATGGATAATGAAATGGGATATGGACGGAAATAAGGATACGGGTGTGTTTAAAATAGAGATAGTGATAGGGATAAGAATATTAATAGTTACAGGAATAGGTAATGGATGGAGATAGCGATAGGAAAATAAAATGGCATAGGGAAAGATAATATAGGGAAACGGATATGTCTGAAATAGGGATAGTGATAGCCATAACAATAGACATATTGATAAGGATGTGGATAGATGTAAGCCCTGCTAGGGGGGATCAATACTATCTACCCTCCTACTA